GAGACCCGTTATCGTTTTTGTTAGGTTCAACGTTTTGGTTGGGATTGCGTGGCAGAGGAATAATGTCCCTCACGTCTTATTCCCGTCCTGATGATGCGAATAGCGTTGTCGGAGGATGTGTGGAGGTGTGTCTTCGTCGGATTTCATGGGATTCGATCGGTGCTGGTTTTCGGTGGATCTATTTGGATCCACTTTTGTTTGTCTTCGTTCGTGTAGTTATGGGTTTGGTCTTTCCGATTTAGAACTCTCTTAATTAGCGATGGTTGCTGTTCTGGTGCGCTGTCCTTTGCGGTCTACTACAACAAGGTTTGCCCGACTCCTGTGAGGGAGGGCAATGATAGCAGCGCAGCTTCGGCTCGCTTCAGTGCTTGTAGTCATCGCTAGGTGGTCTATGAACCTAGTTGTAATTTTTATTATCTCTAGTGTTCTCTGTACTGCCATGTTGATGAACAGATTACAAGTTTCTCTCACAAAATAAAAATTCAAGCCTGTTTTTTGATAGAAGAAATTACACCTCGCAAATAAGGATCTAGATGCTATGATTTCTCTAATTACAACTTCATGCCCCCCCCTTCTTGGCAGTGGCAGCAATATCATTAATCGCATTTTGGCAATCTGAAGCAATATGTAATCTCTGAGTGTTAAGATCCAATGCCAACACCAGGCCCTCACCACATGCCAGTGCTTCCAGAGTTGGTAGGTCTGTAACACCTGACAAAACAAGAGCAGACGCATCCAAGTAGTGGACTTGCTCATCCCTGCATGCTGCTACAACAACACCAGTTCTCCTAGACCTCGACACTCCTCCGTCCACGATGACCTTAAAAGATCCTATTGGCGAAAAATTCCAAACCCTGGAAACAATTTCTAGTGCCACATGCACTTGTGGTTTTGTCACCTTAAGCTTTTTCAGATCATTCAACTCGGAAATTACCGGTTAACAAACTCATGCATGGCAAAAGGACTTTGAAAAATGCTATCATGGATCGCCTTCCTCCTTCCCATCCAGATCACCCACAAAGTAACTACCAAGCAGACCATCTGTTCCTGTGATACAGACTCAAACATAGAGAACAACCAAGACTTGGGGTTGGGTTCGTTCGTTGCCATCATTTGCTCAGGTAGATCCCCATCTACCAACGCACACACGCATCGACTCATGGAACACTCAAGGTTAGAGTGTTTCCAAGAATCTTCAGCACCGCACAAGGAGCAAGCAAACGAAACACACATGTTACAATGCTTCCAAACATCTTCAGATGGGAGGGAAACTCTTGCCAAACGCCACAGGAACATATGAAGTTTTGCGGGAACATCAACATTCCATAATCTGCGCCAACCATGCCCATCACCGGTTGCATTTGAAAGGGTCGGGGCTTGTCAAGCCACACTTCCCTTCACCTCTCCATTGCCATCGGCATGTCGTAACAGGAGCGAGCTGAGAAAGTGATGCTCCTTCCGAAATTCCATGACAAAAAATCCTCCTACTAGTTGGTACACAAAGGTGTATAGAATATCACACTGGCGTCTGAAGGTAAAAAAAACTAATTGAACCAAATTGCGGTTCTAACTAGCATCAGGGTTGATCAACTCACTAACAAACTACGGCGGGTCCTGTGTGCGTGATAAAAGGGGCCTCATCAAATCATCCCTCGGGAGCCAGTTTTCGTTCCAGATATGAGTGCTCATGCCATCCCCAGTCCTCCTGATAAGGTATTGAGACAAAACATCCCGTTCTTCCACTGTTGCCCTCCAAATCTGATATGGGTATGACCCAAGTTAAGCATCAAGTAAGGAAATATATGGCCTTAACAATGCGTGCACCGAGGGAATCTGGAGACCAGAATTCTCCATGCTTGTCTCGCAAGTAACACAAGATTGAAAATCTCAGAGTCCTGAAAGTCAATGCAGGTTGTGTCATGGTGACAAATGATACCCATGTTGGCTTGCACTTTCTCTCCTTGCTTCCTGTAAGTGCATCTAGTGC